AACATGCAATTGGAAAAAAAAAAAAAAAAAAAAGTTTCACTTATAAGATATGTTTGGCATTCTTCAAAGGGTTCTGGCTTCCTGTTGATTCTAGACTTACGGTAATGCATGAGAAATGCAACATGAATGGGAATAGCAGGTATATTTTTAAGGAGTTTAGAACCTGATCTTAAGAATAAACACCATGCATACTGCAAAATGTGCCTGCAAACAGAGTCTAATAACCTATTTGGACTACAATGTTTAGACTGCTTTCAATGTCAGATTTGATAAGTTGAAATTAGTTGGACATTTGAATGTAATGCCACAGTCTGTAGCATAACCTTGTTGTTGGTCAGCTTCAGTTACAGCCTTTCCTTTCAGAAAGCTGCAAACCTCCTGGCTGGTCGAAGCAGAACTGATCAGAAACATCTGTATAACCACACGTAGAAAAGCAGAGGGTATGTCCTGTAACCATGCTCTCGACAACTGCCATCCTTTTGCTGCTCCACTCTTTACTCATGGCAAACACCTTGCTTGCATTGGAGACCCCCACTACTTATGTCGACTCAGCTGGCTTTTCATAATTGTTTTCACCAGTGAGGAGAGCAAAGTTTTACCATCCTTTCACGCAGATTTTGACATAAAAATTTTTCTCTAGATGTCTCTGCAAGGGCCAGTTCCATTTTACTGGGGACTCAGACTAGTATGGCAGCTTTTAGGTGCCAAAGAGTAGCTATTTCTTAAGGTTGTTTTAATCTATATCATCAGTGCAATTATACTGACCAAAGTTTTCTATGAAATTTTCTTTAAAAGAATGAAAATACTTTAAAAAAGTAAATTTGAAAAGAAACTATGCAAGTCTAGACCACAAGTGAGCCAACCAATTCACCAAGCAAAACAACCATTTGCGGGGAGAAGTGTTGCAATCAGGTTTCAGGCATGAATACAACTGCAGGACTCAAATGGTGGATGATACAGACAGATGGAGGCTATAAACTGGACTAAGGAAACTCAAGAAGAAGGAAAAAAATAATGAAACAGAATAAGGACTGTGTTGTGTTAAAGTTTGGCTTTAGAAAACTATGAGCTGATTTTTCCCTGTACCTGGAGCTGGATTGCTAGAACTGTGTTACAAAGCACCAGCTATGAAGGACAAGAGTCTCTTCTTGAGCTTTTGGAAATGTTGAGGATCCCCCAAACTTGTCTGGATCGTGCTGATGTTTGTTGTGCACCCTGGACCTGCAAGTTAGCACCGGTTCTCCTGGCCTGGAGTCACTGTCCAGGGACCTCAGGGCATACATTACCACCTCCACCACCCTACACACAGCTTTTCATTAGAATAGTAGAGTCTACCAACATTTGAGAGGGTCACACTCAGGAAGAAATGAAATGAAACTATAGCTCTGGGAGGACTCCAGACATGTTTTCTTATTTCTAATAAGAAATGTCAAGACATCCATAACATATATATCCTTACTGTGAACTGTATGGGATAGAAACTCCCTTCATTCTTCACTATTAGGGATCAGAGAATCACCCAATTACAGAATGGTTGAGGTTGTCGGGGACCTCTGGAGATCATCTAATCCAACCCCCCTGCCAACCAGGATCACCTAGCACACGCTGCGCAGGATGGCATTCAGGTGGGTTTTGAATGTCTCCAGAGAAGGAGACCCCACAGCCTCTCTGGGCAAGCTGTCCCAGTGCTCTGTCACCCTCACAGTACAGAAGTGCCACCCCATATTCAGCTGGGACTTCTGTGTTTCAACTTATGCCCATCGTTTTGTGCTTCAGTTTGAGCAACAGCTCACTTTATCAAGACAACTTTACAATTATGGATTTAAGCACAGCTGGATCTCTGGGGATATGTAAGCACCCCTCCTTTGGCCATAGTCTCCCAGGTGAAGTAGAAAGGATCTTCATATCGTAGCCACTTTTGTGTTAACTTTCTGAGGCTAATCTCTCCGGCATTCAGCTCAGCTTCACAGACCATAACACATGGCAGACACTAGAGGACCCGCAGATACTTTCCATTGACTGTTTCAGGAGAGCTGAGTTCAGCTTGCCTCGGTGTCCTCACTTGTCTTTCTGAAGTGTATACCAGATACTCTGGAAATGTTATCGGGTATCTTTAGTGACACATCAGTGAAGAGTCTGGTAACTAGTGAAAACACACTTGTAGATACCAGGCTACTAAAGATGGAAAGACTTTTAAAAGGTACTCATGTTTCAGTTTCTACTTTTTATTGCTACCCTTGTAGTCTTAACTACCTAATTCAGATACCTTTGGTCACTTGTAACATATTTCTCAGACTTTTGCAAATATCTTTTTCCTTGTCCTGAAGACTTATCGGGTAGGTTCTAGCCCTATAGCCACTGCTCTCTTCTCAATTCTATAAAGACTGGAGCAATTTTCCCTGAACTGTAGATGGCAGAAGTTTTATTCTTCTAAGAACAATAGATTTAGGAATCTAGTGTCAATAATACTCTGTACACCTCAGGAGCTGAGACGGACTGAGGAGCAGGTAAGATGCCAAAGAACAGCATGCGAGAACACAGATGTTCTGTCCAAAGAATGTCCCTGCTGCAGACATTTAAAAACCTAAACAAGCAAGATAAATGCAGGACGGAACAAACTGATAGGACAGCAGACTAGCTGTCTCCAAAGGTCATGCCACTACCATAGTTAAAATTTAAAAAATCTTAATTTGCCTTAGAACTAAGTCACTAAAGACAAGAAGTAAGTTTGCCTTCAAAGAAAAAGGTGGATAAAAAGGGGAAATAGCTCAAAAGCAAGCAGAAAAAGCATGTGAAAGTTTTCAGGGAGGACAGAGTGAAGGTCAGAGACTCAGACAGTTGGGACTGCAAAAAATACACAGTTTTCACTGATGAGGAAATATCCAGAATGAAAAACAATGTCCCCACCTTCTGTCACTCTTGGTTACAGAACGTCCTCAGGCAACTTTTGAGAGGGTTTTCCAGGCTCGTAATTTCTGTTTCCTGGTGGGACTCATGCACCAATTGGATGCTTCTGTTGTATGATCCTACTGTCTTGTTGAGCGTGGCATCTCTCCAGATACAGAACACTTATTTGAGATCACTTTGATGTAATATAAAAATACAGACTTCAGGAAACTCTATCCCTTTGAGGATGAAGCAAAACTAACCATGTGGGCAGACAGGGACACTGAAGGAAACATTGAATCAGATGAGAACCTTCCCTGAATTCCTTGTGTAATGATCAGCTACCTGATTTGGGTAATAAAAACAAAGTTAGTTTGTAGTAATGGAATTCTATTGTTAAGGAAAAAAAAAAAAAAATAAATTTCATGAAGGTTTGCATAGCATCCTAAAAACCTCCAAGAAATAATTTAATTAAGGCACATACATGTCAATATCTTATCAACCCCTTGCTTTCCTGGGTCCATCCTGTACCCCTGTGCCAGTGGGGGATTTTGCTTCAGTGAGAGAAGTATCAGATTTTCCGTTCATGAAGACTTAACCAAAACTTAAGCATAGGCATTTTCAGTGGCCAGGATGTAATGTTGAAAGCACGACTTTACAGTCCCGTATTTTATAGTCCCATGACTATACAGTTCCATGTTTTTTCCAGATCTATGTCATGTAGAAGCCAGAGGTCTGTGTAGGTTCCTTGCCACCTTTCAAACAGAAACTGACATTGCATCTGTTCCCCAGGCTACCAAGTACTGATGGTCTTTAAGAAAAAGAGTGTGTGAAGCCCTTTTATTAACAGCTAGGCAGTTTTTGGTACTGCCCTTGGGTATGTGGGACCTTTTAGGACTTGTATAGTAACTAAAGGACTGAAGCATTGTCAACTTGCTAAATTATACCAGTTTACATATAATCCTTACCTGTAGTTAGGACTGGTTTCACTAATATCCAGTTTTTAAGGTCTGCAACTAAACTCATTTATGCTTCCAAGTTCTTCAGGACTGATTTTCTAAAACGTCTGCTTCTAAAATTTGAATGGTAGGTTCAACAGGCTGAATAAAATCAGTCAGGGATTATGTTTGCAGCCTACTGGTGGATGTTTGCTTGTTTTTTAATGTGATTGAACTTTGCTTGTCAAATCACATTCTGACTTTCTGTACATTTTGCCCAAGAACAGTTTTAGCTCCTATCAGCACATTTGTAGCAAGCTAAATGGAATATCGTTGTTTTTGAAGTACAGGAAAACATTTTCCAGCTCTTTAAACGTAATGTGCCAGTAGGAAACACAGGATCGAGCTGGGAATCACTGTGAGCCAACTGGATGAGATAAGGTTAAGTGACAAATTACCAAAGTACAGAAACAAAGGAGGCAAAGTAGCTCAATTTCTCATTTCCTTTTCCTCTTCTGAAAGAAAAGAAAAAAAAAAAAGTCTGAATGATGCCAAGCAATAACATAAAATGTTTGTAAGATCTTATTTTAACTCTACTGAGAGCAAGCCATGAAAGCACTACCAGTGCTGTTCCCACTGAACAAACCTTGCCACAGAACCCACCACCACTGTCAGCCCAAACTAACATCAATATCAGTGAACTCAGCAGAAAATCTCGTGGCAGAGAAACTTGGAGATGAGAGTGACAGCGACACCTTGGTGGTGTTTGCAATGGGGTGACTTGCTCTCCCATGTCAGTGCTTTCTATCTCTATATATGTTTTGAAAATTGTTGCACCAACAGTGCTATGGAGGGAAGGGGATGTCACATCTTCCAAGCTCTCTCTGAGGTCTGTTGCCTCCTGCTGAGCTCCTGCGTGCTCTTGTCTCACCATCAGCCCTCACAGCCCAATATTATCTCACCTCTGAGCACGGTAGGGCTTCCTGTTTCACAGATCCCGTGTTAAATTCAGGGCTCAGCTGCAAAAACATATAGGCAGAGGCAGCCCTCACTTTGCCAAATCATTTTTCTCCCTTGAAAACTGACAAGGAAACTATTTGAGACTTATGGTAGAAGCCCCTAGGTACAGGCATATTTCTGGGCAAGACACACCACTTCAGTAAAAGTATGGTTAATATCAGTACTTCTGTGAGTGTTTATAATCATTCTTAGCTTGTGAAGCAGATTTTATTGCTTTTGGAGGTTGTAATCCAGAAAAGTAGACAGGAAGAGAATTTACAGTGAAATATGGAAAAACTCATCTTGGTAAAATTTCTGACAAAGCTAGTCACTGGCACCCCGAGTCCAACTTTCAGAACGACATAGGGACTCTGGCAGCTGGATATCACTGAAAGCTGAGCTGCTGAGTGTTTAACGCCAAAGACTGCACTGACTGTGCAGGGGGCGTTTATTCCCTTTAAAACTGTTTTTGCTCTTGAAGTGACTGTAACGAAGCTTGACAACACGGTGAGGGAGATGCAGTCAAGAAATGCTTTCCATGTCTGAAAAAAGGCAGAGGGGCCTGAGATGAGGAAGAGGGGACGCATGACATTCACAATCCTCCAGTCACCAAGCCACTCTTCAGTGGGCCAGCACCTGATGTGAATTACAGCAGCCTCCAGGTTCCTGCAGCGTACGCTGCCAACAGCTCCTGGGAGCTAGTCCAGCAGTCACAAACCCCTGCCCCTCTCCTCTCTTCTCCTCTCCTCTCCTCAGGTCACTTGCCTTCTCCCAGGCAAACGGTGCAGGGATGGTCCCAGCCCAGCTCCACTGGTGGCTCTCCTCACGCTGGAGATGCTAACGAGGATGGATCTGCAGAGTTTGCACAGTTTTGCGCTGTAGAGCAGAAACTGAACCTTGACTTCTGAAGACAAGTATCTTCAAACAATACAGTTTTCATCCTGTAGATGAAAGGGCTGCTGAGGTGCCATTGACTGTCTTGGAAATTATTTTCACCAAAGAATGCTGGTATCTCTCCCAGTCTGAATTAACAGCCCTCCAGGGCTTGAGCCAAGAGCATTCCTCTTGGTAACTGGATAATGACATTACTCCTCATTTCACTTACACCACAAGTCACACAGCTTGACGGCTTGGAAGAGAAAAAGCTGGTACCCATATTTCATTTAGTGTGTTTGAGGACGTCCATGATATTTAACACTTAATCTGATTTGTGTAAGTGCAGTACTGAGTGTGAACATGGGGAAAAGCCCCACTGGTCACACAGTACGTAAGAGATACCTCTAGGGCTTTAAGCCTGGAGGTGAAAACAGACATAAGATAAAGTTTATTTCATGGTATCAGGAAGCCCATACTGGTGTTTAACAACTTGTACTGGATTTTGTCATACCTCTTGAATAACCTCACTGACTACTTAATAAAAAACTTCAAACTAAAACAACAATGAAAAGTGCTCTCTGCTGTACCTTGTTAAAGTGAGTATTACTTCCTTCATGTTTAACCTATTCACTGATGTGTTTTGGCACTGATTCTGCTATGTAACATAACAGCGTTTCTCAAAGGAACACATTCAAACCTTTTTGCCCATACTGACACAGTTATGGTCACATTGAGCACAGAGAGTGGGGTGGTATCTTACTCCATCCACCAGACACACCACGCTTCTTTTGGACTGACATCAGAGTATGTTTTATCAGGTTCATGAGAAAGATGTGGTCCTCGAACATATGACTTTTGGCATGATTGGTTAATCTAGCTGAGGGCAAATCCCACTGTTGGTATCATTCTTAAACAAGAAGTGATCCAAGAAGAGTGCCCTTTTGGGGTGCTTTGTAAAAGAGCCAGCCTCTGCTTCTGCCACATAGATGGATCCCTTTGTCTGGGGTGTTTCATCTGCGGCAGTCACAGGCTTCAGGAGCTGCACTGCCCCACAAGGGTATGAACGCTGGGGTGCTGCATGGATTTAAGCTCTGTTTGGAGTCAGTGAACTGCCTTGTGACTGATGACAGGGGAAAAAAAGAAAAAAAAAAAAAAAGGAAGAAAAAAAGAAAAAACAGACAAAGCCCAACAACAATGGAGCTACTTGGGTTCTTTGATTAGCCAAGTTCAGCTGGAGGTCCCTACACTGACTAGACAAGTCTTTGATGGAAGGAGAGGAAAAACTTGAGATGATTATTCAAAAACAATTTTCCTGACCAGCATCACTTGGTTTTGCTTCCACTGAAAATTCAGTCCTCATCAAAAATAAAAGATTTCCTAAAAGTTTTCTGAAGTTTCAGTTTCTGAAGCAGTAGGTGCATTGACTGAGAGCAGCGCTTGTAGCCAATTTGCCTATTGACAAGGAAGCTCCTGACAGGAAGCCATCTCTCCCAGTCTCGCAGATCTGTTGAAAAGCAAGACCAGAAGATGGATCCCTGCAGGATAATCTCTTGGGAATCTCTTTAGTGGAAAACCTCCTGCAGCTATGGCTCATTTCTCTCTCTCCCTTGCTGAATACCAAAACATGGCACTTAAGTCAGGAACCACATGTGGAAGGTAAAAGTTCTTACAAAGGCCCAGCTAGCTAAATCCAAAAGGCTGTGAAAGGAGCAGGGCAGATGCCCTGCCCTGTACATGTTGCATTTGATCAAAAGTGATGAGGGCAGCACAGCAAATACAAAACAACCTGGGAGGATCCTTCCAGAAGAGGAAGGAAAGCACAGTGAGAAGGTGGTATTTAACATTACTTTCAAGCATTCTCTACGCCATCCCTCTCAAACTGTGTTTTCAAGGTGATGGTACCTGAAAACCCGAAATGAGGAAGCATATTTGCTACTGTTGGGCTCAGTATCACTGTATTTGACATTACCCTGCAGTAGCAACTGCTGGTTTTACTCTGGAAACTTTTGGATCATGCGATTTAACAGCGCGCCACAGTTTTTATGCCCATGGCTCTCCAGCTGGATTTTATTTCTCTTGTAGTTTGGTTGAAAGGTACAAGTGCATGAGTGCACCTTCATGCCTACACACACAGCGGGTCAATTGGGGCGGGAGGGTACATGCATGCGTATGTATGTATGTGTGTCACATCCACTTCATGTTGCAGGTTTCGGTTTACAGGACTTCTGGTGTACGATCAGTCTGTCTGGAAGGAAAGTACGCCCACAAATATCACATGGAACTAGCTGGTTCTGGGCGCTGATCCAGGCAGCCTCATTTAAAGCATCAAGATCATAGAAACCTTTGGCTGGAAAATTAAAAAAAGAAAGTATCAGTTTTCATTCTGGAGACCCACATTCAACTCTTTATGGAAAATATTTTCAGGAAATACCTGTTGACTGAGCCTTTCAGTTTAACCAAACCATATTGCTTTTGCAAATGAAAAAGAAAGGAAAGAAAGAAGTAAAAATAAAAAATATATAAAAAAAAGACTCTGCTTTTTGTCCCAGGGGTTGAATTAAATTAACTTCAAACTGAATCATTCTGTATTGTATGAGACTACAGAGAAAACATCGTGCTGTCTGTTATGATATGCATTCTCTACTAATTATTAACATCTTTGCATACATACTATTATCAGCAAGTTTCACTTTTTGGCTTTACTTCAAATTCTGTTTAATAAGCATGTGTTATCTGACCATGGCAATGAGGGGGAGAGTATCATACTTCAGAATATGCTCTTTGTACTGCTTTGGGCAGGGGGGTCAATTTTCTTCCATTGAAGCCTGTGCTGGTTTTGCCAATAACTGGAGTAAAGCTTAGGTAAGCGTGTAACCTTATAGACAAAACCTACAGCTCTCCATAGCCACAACTGCCAGTGAGGTCATTGCACTAATGTACCTATTGTCATCTAAACACTAACCCAGCCTTACCCTCAGTTATTTTCCTTTTCAGGAAGAGTGACTGCTCAAAGCTCAGGAGCATTCTTTAAACATCCACCTCAGATGTATTTTCAAGATTGTATTTCATTATAAAAAAAATCTTTACTTCCATCTTGAAATGGCCTTGCACAGTGTTGCTACAAATGGATTTCCAAAAGGTAGGTTGCTTAGTACCTGAACTTAGATCTTAGAGTCTTCATTTGAAGTTCATGAAGAAAAAGATCTGCATGGTTTAATGTGAAGATGTTTGATTCACCCTTTCCAAAAAGTGTGACAATACAGAAAAAGACTAAAAAATTGTTTTTGTCTTTGAACTCTTAGCAGCACACAATCTTAAAAGAAAAGGATTTGTGCATTTAAAAATATTCCATGGTTTGTGTCATTGGCACATGATAGAGCTCTTCATTAAAGGCCCATACAGTTTTAATATGATTCATATCCAATGGTTCACATAACCACAATAAGCCTTAGATCTCTTAATATGCCTGTTCCTAATGTTCTTTTTGTTAGAAGAGCAACCAAGTAAAGTTTCTTTTCTTGGCTGAGACAAATACCCCTTTTGCTTGCAGGAAATGAATGTGTATTTTCTGTACTTTGGAAAGTTTATTGAATATATAAAAAAAAATAAAAGAGAGAGAGAGAGGGAAAGAGAGAGAGAAAGAAAGAAAGAAGGAAAGAAAGATGACTTTCTCCTTGCAGGCATGTGTTAGGCATTCCACAAACAAAACACTGTGTAATCAGGGCAGCGGTTGTCTTCCCGTGACACTTGAGTTTTCAGAAAAAGATTTATGTAAGTTATAAAAAGTTTTATGTAAGCATTTAATATTTCTGAGCTTTTTTTGAACACTGACAGTTCCATTCAACAACAGGGGTAACTCCTCCTACTTAAACTGCGAAACTGAGAGACATGCAGTACGTGTATGTGGTCTGAAGGTCAGTTATAGCATTTACCAGATGATCGAGAGTAAGTCTTACGGAAAAAGAACAACACAGATTATTTTCTCGAGGCCAGGAGCATGAGGCAACCGCAGGGGGAACAGATTTAGCTCAAGCTACAGAACCGATCAGACTTGCATCAGCAAGCATTTAGGGACAGATGCTGGAAGCAGGTCAGTGCCCCCTGGGGAGCTGCGGGCACACAGCACCTCATAGGAGATGCGTGGCGCCTGATATGACTCATTGCACAAATGAGACAATTTTCTGATTCATATCTGGGAGCCTTATGCTGGATTGTTCTCTCAAAGAACAGTTGTCTTTCTGCTTCCACTCCCTCAAAATAAGAATAGCATATTTCAAAATAACCTGAATTGTCCTTTTGCATCCTCCTCTTTCAGATGGAATTCTCATTTTCTCCATCTTTCTTACCACATAACATGTGTAATTAAAAAAAGCCTAACAACAAAAACAGCAAATACAATTGAAATGTCTTTTGAACCTATCTTTTCCTGCAGATTCAACTTTGCTGCTTGGCATCTGTTAACCAAGCCTCAATTTGATCCTCTTTGAGCTGTAACTGTTTTGTACAGATGATGAGTGTTCTCACCGGTCCTGCTTTCTTCTGTGTGTGTCTTGTGGGGACATATTTCTTTGTACTGCTGTAAACTGATCTAGTGTATGGCTCTTTCCCAGAGAACTGGAGGAGAAGTTATCTATTTTTCCAGACATTAAAGGAAACTGTGGGAAATCATGGAGAGTAAAAATAAAAAGTGGGTGAATTAACAGCCTGTGAGCAAGTGGTCCAAACCTGGCACAAAGTATCTCAGAACAGCTGGCAGGCCCAGGGAAAACATCCAGCTGAACTGAAATAACTTTATGTGGGAATGGAGAGGTCTTGGGAGCAGCTTCCAGGCAAAGCACAGATAAGATTTCATTTTGGTCCTGCCATGAGCACACACCTCTGGGATACACGGAGGACCCCAGCTCTGTGAGGTGCTGGGGATCAGCTATTTCACTGATTTGAAGAAGTGGGATCTAGGCCTCTTACAAAACAGAACCCAAAGCACAAATACACGTACTCAGCAGAAAGAGACTGCTCTTCTTATACTACACATATTTTTCCCAGTATGTTTATATCACATTGTATCACAAAGTAATCTTCTCAGGCTTGTAAATAAAAAGGGACCGATGACATCAACTGGATGTTCACTGCAGAAGACACTGCATTTTTAAAATACAGGTATTTTAACAAAAACATAAAACTACAGTATATGTATTTATGCAGTGTTTAAAAATACCTTTTTTTTCTACCACCCCTCATTCATTTGAATTGTATTTCTTATTTCACCACACAACTCCTATTTCCAAGGTCACCTACTATTTACCTTTGGGTAAGTGCTAGTGCTGTGCCTTTTTTACAGCTAACAGCACAGGTGTAAAACCTGGCTGAACTATCAGTCCCAATGCTGCCTGAGGGATATTTTATTTTAACGACTGTATGCGTCAAGTCTGCACATTATTCTTGGATCCTGCTGCTCATTTTGCAATATGCATTTCTGCAGTTTTGAAAGAACTCAAAAAGTAATGATGTAGTGGTGAAGCAGGTTGCTAATATTTTTGTGTTTTGATTCAGAATATACTGACACATAAAGAGCACCGTCCCAGGAGGCACATCCCGCAAAGCAATGACTACTTTTATTTCTCCTGGATGGAGCACACAAAGAGAACAGGATAATTAACAGGAAGCTTAAAACAAGCCGTGATAACTGCCTTCCCTTCAGACTAACTGGAGGAAAGAAGTAGCTGCAAACTGCTAAACTAGTGCTTAAAATTCTTTTTTTTCTTTTTTTTTTTTTCTTCCTCCCACTTCCTTCCCCTTGTTTCCTGCTTGGTCTGTAGCTTACCTTGTATGGGATTGACTTCAGGCTTTTTGGGCTCTGGCCTCCTCAAGCGCTTGGGTAGCATGTCATTTTCTTGGTGCCATTTCTTCAGGCACTGTGGCTCATGGATGCTGATGGATGTTGTTCCATACTCACGGCCACATATGTAACAAATCACTGTTGGTGGCCGTCTTACCACTCGTGCCTGCAAATGGCAATAGTAAAGAAGGATAAGCAGTGTTTTCAACATTAATTTTGAATCAGAACAACTTTGAATGAAAACAAGCGTGTATGTTAAGAAACTGGTTCATACGTGTGAACTCGGTGTGCATGTTTCTGTCAGTTTTGTTACCTCTGGATTCAGTCCTGGAGCTTGTAGGGGGGACATTGCCTCATAAACTGGCCATTTGGAACAGGTAGGCTCCTTCTGCAGATACTGGGCTGAAAATTCGTGTGTGTCACCTAGTTAATACTTAGCTACGTAGATTTTAGCTCTTTTATTTCCCAACATCACATTCATGGAAATGCTGACTCTTCACTTGCAGAAACAACCCTTCTGCTTGATCGGATTGCTGCAGCACAGTAACCATTTTAAACATCAAAGCCTTTTTTTTTTTTTTAATCTATCAAACAGAAGTAGCATGGCCAGCAGCAACAGAAGCTTCCTCAGCTGAACTGCTGAGACATGCATCCAGTAGCAGAAAGCCCCCATTCAAGCATCATGTCTGGCCTTAGCATCTCCTTTAAGCTGGACAGTGAAGGCAGCTGCCTCAGGCTTGTGATTCTTGTCCCTCGCACTGTGTTACTTCTATTACAGATCAGTTAGCCGGTGGAATTTTTGGCTTTGAAGGATTAAAACCGATCCAGGATATTTCAGTATTGGGAGAAAAAGGAACTGTTTCTTGTTTATCCCAAAGACCTCAGTGTGAATTTTGCCAGTGATTTCAAAGAGGGCAGAGCTAGGCTCCAAGCAAGTCATTGTTTCTGCACTGCAGACCTGCTTTTGTTTGCAGGAAAAAAAAAAAAAAAAAAAAAAAAAAAGCTCAACAAAAAGAAAGAAAAAAAAATTCTTCAAACCCAAGGCCCACAAATACACGTTCGAAGCTTGAAAAATATATAATTACTGTGGTATTGCAGATTATGGACTTGACTGTCTTTAGGCACGTCCTGTGCTAGGCGTGGTGTCAGCACCAGCCCTGCTTCAGGAGTAACGTGAAGGAGAAATGTGCTGCAGAGACAGGACTTTGAGACACAGCGAGGGTTCTTGCAGCTCTCACTGTTTCCTTCACTCCTGCCTGCAAAATGCCAGTAAGAGACAACCTACTCCCTGTCCTCTTAAAGGTAGGGGGAGAGCGTGCCAGAGCAAACACGGGAGGCCTTTCTCACTCAAACAAGGGAGGTGGGGATTTCGTTTTTTCCTCCGTGTAAGACAAAGCATAACCAGTTCCAGTATTTATGACTCCCTCTCTCAGCCCATCAGTGTATTCAAGAAAGTCTGGGCAGCTCTTCTCGCATTTATGCTACAGTCTGAAAATGTCATTAGAGAATAATCTGCATCTTTCCTTCCTGTAACACACATGTAAACTCAATTACATGAAGAAATACTACTCTACAAAGCATATTTTTAATGGGAAAAGTTGGGCTTTGTCTGGAAAGTTCTCACATAGAAATGAAATATAACTTACCCAAAGACAGTCAATCTGAGTACTTTTTCATCTTCTTAACTTTCAAATGCAATTTCCTTAGTCATCTTTGGTAACAAGGTAATTGAAATATGAATGCATAAGCGTCTCTCTCTATTCACAGCTGAATATAGCGACTGCTGATTTAAGAGTGCCCTTTAACTTTTCTTTATCAGCTTTCACCAAGCTCCTTACTTCAGCTCTTCACCTAGCTCTTGTCTGACTTGGGGATACGACTCTGGGTCCCAACAGAGACAGTGAGTGGTTCTCTGCAGGCTCCAAAGAGCTGTACATGAGGACACTGTGGCACAAACTGTTGGGGTTAGAGGACTCGTTTCAGTGCGCATGTTTGTTATGTGCATGCTTACAGTGTTTTAGAAACAGTTTTCTAAAAAAGAGCACTAATTGTAAGAACACCAGGAGCACGTTTTCTTGTCTAGTTTCCATTAGCTATGTTCCTGCTGTTCAGTAAAACAGCTGATTTACTGGATATAAAGTGGGACAGATCAATTTGACTTACATTCATTACGTAGGATGCTTTTTATGGTACCAGGATGGTAAAAAGCAATCCTAGAACAAAAATGGAAATCAAGCTTGCCTGGCCTGCACTGCTGGAATCATTTCCACTGTATAGAGTATTATAATAAAAACAAATGTGTAGCTTCAAGAAGACTTAAAGTCCTGATTTGACCCAGCTGAAAAAGCACTTAAAAATAAATATTCACAATAAATTTAAAAGGAACATTGAAAATCACTGTTGAAATCAAGTGTTTTCTATCTTAAAAATATTTCCCTAGTGATTGTGGATAGCCTATCATCTCTGACTGCTTCACTCAAACCAGTTACTCTTGCACTAAAGCAATTGCAATATCTCACTGCTGAGCAGCTGCCACAGAGCCACAGGACAAAACTGAGTCCAGTGCAACCTGGATACACTTCCACAGCTCACCAAGACGGTCTTTCTGACAGTCTCACCTGAAAACCGAAAGACTGAATGAGCAATCCTGTGATCCCTCCAGACCCTGACAGAGTTAATAGGTGGGTTTTAGGGTGCAAGTGAACAAAATCAGGCCTGCAGCTAAACAGAGGATTCTCTTTTCCAAGCTTGTCAGTTGAGACTGATTCAATGCTAAATCCTATTTGGTGAGAAAAATGATTAAGAAATCTACTGAAGTAGAATGTATCTGTTTTGTAACTTTCACAATTAAAGACTGCAGAAACAATAGCATGAACCAAAATTAATTCAAAGGAATCAGATCACTGTTAAGGACGGAATGACTTCTTCCAGAAATGTAGTGAGTCTGAACCATCACCTACACATTGCATACACAAATCCTTCTCTGCAAACACACTCACAGTAAAACAAAACAAAGCAACGATCCCCTCCTCCCCCCTCAAAAAAAAAAAAAAAAAGAGAACCCCACCAAAAACCTGAAGAAGAATACTACAATATTATGACAGTTGTAGTAATAGCTCATTCATTGCTTAACTGTGGAATCCTAGGTATGATATGCTTTATTTGGCATTTCTACAGCTGATCATATTTATCCTTCATTTCTTTTTTCTCTTCAGAGTATGCCTACCCCAAATGTCACATCTGGAGGCCTGCAGTTTGAAACTAAACTATTTTTGGAATCACCACAATTTTCCAACCCAAACTACTCACAGGCCAGTGGCTGGGCTGTCTGCTCCCTGCTTTGTTTTTCGCTTTTGAAAAGTGTAGTAAGAAAGGTCTGTTCCTGAGGACATGTGTTCTTATAAAAATACCTACAAATACCTCATGGTGCAGTTAGGCTTTCCTTTGGTGCCTCAGTATTTTCTTTCTTCTCCATGACTGCTAAGTGTGCCTGTGTTACCATGAATGAAGTCATTTTACTCAGAGTGCTACAAAATGGTGTGTTTTCAATAGACCTGACATTACTTGAGGTTAGCCCCAGGCTGCTGTTCTGGTGTTACATGAGGTCAAACCTTCCCATACTGAACAAAGCTTTTAATTTCTTCTTAAGCATATCCAACAAGACTGGCTCCCAAGCTCCCCTCCACAAATATTTGTCATCCAGGAATGAAAGTCACCTCCCACTTGTTATTTGTTTAATTGTCCGTGTATTTTAATGGGAGGAGGGGAGGCCTCCAGCTCTAGGCCACAGCTCTCATCATAGGCTTGACTTGCCCAAGGAACAGAGAGAGGTTCAGAAAAAAGATTGGCATAAGCACTTCGTAACGGCATCAGGCTGTATGAAAGCAGCAGCCTTTTCCAGACATTCCTCTCTGAAAAGCAAGAGGCATTTTGCACCAGGGGCAGAGGCAACCTGTGGAGCAGCTCTCCAGACCATCCAAAGGAGCATTTCACAGCCTCTGCCCCACCACAACAGCAGGCTGATGTCAGGACCGCTCGGGTGCCAAGGTATAAAACGACTTTGAACAACAAGGTAATTCTGCCTGGTGATGCAGGTTATGAAAGATGTTACCCTACTGGACTCAGCAGAATATCCCATTTTAATCCTGATGTGCTACCTTTGAAAAAAAAAAAAAAATGTATATATATATATCAGTACAATGAACACGGCACTTGTGTAAAAGTAGAAAGGCAGGAACTTCAATTACTAGCAGTGACAATATGCACTAAATTGAATTCAAAAAATTATTTCACTGCCTATTCTCATCTACTTTCTGTGTTTGCCAGCACATTTGCCGGTACTCACCTAAGAAGATATCAAGAACTGCCACAATTGAGACAAAGTCTATCATTTCCCACCCTCCTTTGAATTACAGGGCTGCTGAAGGTGTTTTCATTTTACCAAGTGAGTAGATGACTTTATGTAAGAGGAAGATACAACATCAACATTTTGTTATTAAACAAGTTTGCAAGACTTATCTTGTATTAAAATGAATTACAGGAACAGGAGAACACAAAAATCGGATTTTTAGGTAGTCAACACGATAAGAAGAAAACAGCAGATGGCAGCACCAGACGCTAGTGACACATCTGATAGGATTTTAGGCTCAATGTTATCACCATGTGTTGTCCAAAAACCTGTAAAACATATACCCACAGCAAGTCATGAACACTCACGTACAGAGGCAGAAGCACACATTTTGGTCTACGCAAGAATGAAAAAAAACACATTCTGCTCTACCACAAGTCTGAGTTTCAATAGTCCCAGACATCACTTCCATTGCCTAAGGTATCAGAGCAGAATCCCAGCGGTATGCAAGAAATAGGATTTCTGAGCTGACGTGGTGTTTGAGGCTCTGTGAAGTGTAGGCTGTTGTTTGTTTTATGTAGTCAGACTTGACTAACTCAGATCTGTTCATGTATTTGCAGAGCAAGGATAGAGGAAGCGACGTCTTAAGGAGGCTGTTGAGTGTCCAGCAGTAAAGGCATTTAACACCAAACTGAGCAAGAGTTTGTTGGTAAGTATTGGTCTGGCTGATCCTGCACTTGCTAATGGAAAGATTTCAGTCAGACAAAAGTACCTGCAGCTGGCCAGGGGAGGCCCATGGGAGTGCAGAGACCCACCAGGAGCATGCAGGTCATGCAGGAGTGGCTGACAAAGCAAGAGGGAAAAAAGAAAGACACGGGGAGCTACAGGCTGGTCAGCCTCACCTCTGTGCCTGCCAAGATCAGGGAACAGATCCTTCTGGAAACTGCGCTAAGGCACATGGAAAAAAAGGAGGTGATGGGTGACAGCCAACATGGATACACTAAGGGCAGATGGTGCCTGACAAATGTGGAGGCCTTCTCTGACAGGGTTACAGCATTGGTGGGTAGGGGAACAGCAGGTTACGTCACCTACCTCAACCTGTGCAAAGCATTTGACACAGTGCCACATTATATCCTTGTCTCTAGATGGGAGAGACATGGATTTGATGGATGGACCACTTGGTGGGTAAGGAATTGGCTGGATGGTCGCACTCAGAGAGCTGCAGTCAACAGCTCAGTGTCCAGGTGGAGATCAGTGACGAGTGGTGTTCCTCAGCAGCTGGTATTAGGACGGGCACTGATGAACATCTTTGTCAGTGGCATGGACAGTGGGATTGAGTGCACCCTCAGCAGGTTTGCCAAAGACACCATGCTGGCAGGAAGGGATGCCATCCAGAGAGACATGGGCAGGCTGAGAGGTGGGCCTGGGTGAACCTCATGAAGGGGAGACCTTACATCGGCCTTCCAATACATAAAGGGGTCCCACAGGAAAGCTGGGGAGGGACTCTTTGTTAGGGAGTATGGTTATAGGAGAAAGAGTAATGGCTTTAAACTGAAAGACCATAGATTTAGGTTAGATATGAGGAAGAAATTCCTTTCTATGAGGGCAGTGAGGCACTGGCACAGGCTGCCCAGAGAAGCTGTGGATGCCGCATCCCTGGAGGTGTTCAAGGCCAGGCTGGATGGGGCTTTGGGCAACCTGGTCCTGAAGGTGTCCCTGCCCACAGCAAGGGGGTTGGAACTGGCTGGTCTTCCAACCCAAACCATTCTTTGATTCTTTGATTGTATTCACAGTATTACAGACTCAGTTGTTTTTTGTTTGTTCATCTTTGTTTTCAGTTATTCCTCCCCTCTGATGTTTCACTGAATTAGGACTTTAAAAAAGGTGTGTAAGTAATTTACTGTCACATTGGCTAGGTCTGTTAAGAGAAACATGGACCTCCCCAAATATTTTTCTCCTCCAAGAAGCTTGCAAAGTCTCTCTATAAGCTCAGCGTGACTCTTTCCCTCATGAGCCACCATAAGCATTATATGAATTTACATCAGCCTACAGCAAACAGGGCTGGAAGCTGCTTTAACTATAACCCTTCATTAATCAGGGGTGACTGATGTAATTCCTGCCAGAACCAAAGCAAACTGCCATTTCATTCCACCAGCAGTATATTTTAATAGAATTAATAAGCAGCTGAATAGCTGTTAGAGCAAGCAAATTAAAACCATTTGCTGGAAAAAGATGAAGACTGTACACAGGACCCAGACCTTGTCTGTGCTCACAGTGAATCAGCTGCCCCTCCATGAGATTAGTGCTTCTCAGCATCCTTTGATGTGTGGGCTTTTCAAAAATTTGAACTGGAGGTGGAGACCCTCACACAGAGAGTTTAAATCAATGGAAGAGATGCTTTCTTTGGCTACTTCTTAGAAGAAGTCTTCCAATCCTGAACAGCCACTGCAATCACAGGATGTTTCTTTCACTCTTTCCATACCCATCTCTGCTTTGAAAGTGTACCTCTGTACAGACGGACAGCTTGAAAAACATTATTAATATTGAGTACAAAGAGAGAAAAAACATCTTGCCTTCTTGAAAGTCATCACTAACTGTGAAGTCCTCTAGAGTCAATTACAAACCGCGAACTGTACGGCCTCATTAGTAGGGCTACAATTGAAAAACTTACTGATTGGAAGTAAATGAGGAAAACTGCTGTTCACACACAGGGAAGAACAGATTGGAACACATTTCATTCTGGCTCTGCAGAGCTCACAGAAGTAAAAAGCGGCAATAATGTTGTTGTTCAACAAGTCAGCAGATGTGAGAGAATCCACACAGGGAGCCGACATGTTGTGCAAGAGGGCAGCGTTTTTACAGAGTCACTCTCAATGCCAAACCACATGCTAAACTTGTTTTTGTGTGTCACTATAACTATGGACATTTTTCCTCATACAACCACTTCCCCCTGTTTTAAACATACAGAACTGCACACGATGGACAAACTCTTGGCCTCACACCCACGCCTTTCATTGCACAATCACCTTAAAGCAATGCATTTGGTAAATGGTTCTCCAGTAAATAGTACAATGCATTGTAAGGCAACGAGAACTTCTCCTTTCCCACAGCTGTAGGTGTACCTGTGCAGCACTTCGCACTGCGTGAAACCAGCCAATAAAAGACCTGAGGTGTGGACATCATTTGCTATTATCTATCAGTCAGTGGCCTCAAACAGCTTAATATTGAAATGCCTCACATTTTTATCCTCATATTTGCCATTGCCTCAATCAACTCAATTACATTGAGCAGCTAGAGAATTGGGGAAGACCATGCTTCAACTTTTAAAACCTTTTTAGAAGTGCTCTGCATAGCACTGCATTCCTTCATTCTTTTGGTGACTGAGACAGCTGAAGGCCATTTTCAGAAGTCAAATAGGCAACCTAGAGTCCAAATCCCACTGAGAAAAAACATCAAGACATTTATTTTTGACACCAGGCCTAAATTTAGACATCTATCTTTTTAAAACATTCCAAGCCAAAAAGACAACTTGTGCTGAAACAAACGCAGGAAAAAATATGCCATTTTCCAAAACTTTGTGTAGCTTTTGGGTAATGTGAATCAGCTTTTTTTTTTTTTTTTTTTGATCTGGAATCAAATTCAGTGGAAAGAAATGTGCAGTCTTATTTATTTTGTTGCTATACTCTGCTGCCTTTGAACATGCAGTCCTCAGTAAATTCATATTTCAAGCCAAGGTTAAGAATAATGGCAAAAAATGAACTTCACTGTAGCGCTTACAGAACAATGAAGAATTGCATTTCAGGTTAACTAAATAAAAGGGCCTAATATCTACTAAAACGTACAACATTCAAAGCTTGCCTAAGCTGCTGAACAGATTATCCTAATAAACTATAGCACATAAAGGTCCCCTTTGGGAGCATAACCCTCATAGGAGCACAGAGTACATGTACCAAACCACTCTCTTAAACAGAAAAATCAAAAGAAATCGGAGTAAGTAGTTTTCTTTATTCAAACAATAGCCCCCTCAGCTTTGCCTACTATTCAGCAAAGAAGCATTGGCATGGAGCCAAAAGATTCTTCTAAAAGAAAGCGATTCCAAATTTTGATAAGAACTCAGTCTCTCCTGCAACAAAACACATCCACACCCTTTCACACAATGTGTGCTTTAGCAATTTACCTTCTCTAATGCGGCTGGTGCAGCCCCGCTCTTTCTCTGACTGGCCTTACAGGGATCTTCTCTTGCTGAGCCAGATTTATGGGGGTTAGCACCTGGCAACCCCACACCACTGCCATTTCCTTTGCAGCTCCTCTGGTGCACAATGAGACGGTCTGGAAGGAAGGTCCGGCCACAATTTCCACAGGGCAGAAGCTGGGCTTGAGCGCTCTGATAAGCTGCTTCGTTATCAGCTGTAAGCACGCAGGAACCACCAGTAAGGGCCTCAGGTCTCCGAGGCTCTGGTCTTCTCAGATGTCTTGGTAGCTGATCGTTTTCAATACGCCACTTCTCTAAGCACTGGGGTTCATGTATAGAGATGGACTGTGACCCAAATTCTTTGCCACAGATATAGCATACCCGGAAGCAAGGTCTCCTTGGAGGGATGACCGGTCGATTCAGTGGCATCTTAGACATGTTTAAAGAGTTTGGCTGCTTTGATATTATTGCAGTGCCTGGCCGCCTTCTCTGGGGTCCAGCTTCTAGAGGTACTTCTGGCAAAACTCGGGGAATATCCGGCACATTTGATGGTGCAACCTGCTCAGGAGGCACGAGGGCAGAGACACTAGCAGGGCTGTCTCCAGCACTTGGCAGAGTGTCACTAGTTCTGTTCAGATTCTTTTTATTGACATTTGCTTCCATCAAGAGTACGTTTCAAGAAAGTTCTCTCTCTTCTACCCATAAAGGACTTGAGAAAGTCTATTATTCAGCGTGGTCCTCCATCTCCTCAATTCAGTTTCATGGGCTGGAATGTACTAGAGCCTTCAAAGCTGGAAAATTGCATCTAGTCACCGTTTCAGTAGAGAAGGAGGGTTTCCGTGTGTTGATCTTTTGCTCTTTGGTCTTGCATGATCCTGAAACAAATTCAGTCAGTACACGTTAATAAATACCATATCTATGGTTACAACCAGTGGTTTATTACAAGGATCACTTGACTGTACTACTCTATTAAATTTTTAAGTAGTAGGCGTATAACATCAAATACCAACTATCCCTAATTATCACCTGAACAATGAAAATCTGAAATTCTAGACTCAGATGGTTCAAAGCCGTGAAGGAAATGGAAGTGGAAAGGTTTGCATAATGGGAAGTATTTGAAATACATGTGCTTTTGAGTATAATCAATATCCTTTAGTTTAAATTTCTGACAGAACTGATACAGTCATTAATTTCTAAACTACTTATACTGATAGTTAATTTTCCTGCCTCAAGAGAAATGTCCCTTAGTAGAGAGATCTACATCCAGTCTCCAAAGGGTGATTAATTAACATGGAAAATCTTCCCAGTCTGCAGGTTGAAGCAAGTGACAAGGCCCCTTCACTCAGCACTTGTGAGGTAGTGTCTCAAGTGTTGGGTCTCCCATTACAAGAGAGATGTTAACAAACCTTCTCTCCTTGATCACTCCCTGGTCTCAACAGAGGGGATGAATTTTCCTGCACTCTGGGATGAGGACACAGTTTTGTCGTTACCCTTGAGATGACAAACTTAAACTTTGTCTACAGCACTGAGAAGCCCTGAGTCAGTTCTAACCTCCAATAACAGATTCTTGGGGATAGATTAAGGACACAGGCAACAGTGGAAAAAAAAAAAAAAAGAGTTGCCAACAGGTCAACAGGTTCACATGACTTGCCAGGCATACAAAGATGTTTAGACTGTTGCATCCACACTGCTTGATTAAATACTCACAAGGCTCCATATTCCAGGGACACTTGTCACACTTTCTCCTTTTAAAAAATCTCCTCAGATATATTTGTACACAAATTGGAAGATGTGAGGATCATCAGAGCCAGTCTGTGGTTTGTACTGGAACACATCTCTGTGAAAAAGTATTTTGCAGCTAGCTCCTAAAAATAAAATTCCTGAGGGACAGCGTACTTAGCGCTCGGAGTTAACACCTCCTCTCACACTTTATTAGGTAACTGCAGTCTGTGGAACAATATAGTAAACCACAAGGCTGTGCCATCCTCTTGTGTCTGAAGCTATCCGATATGCATACAATACTCTCATATACAATATATCTATTCATATATAGTACACTTGTATGTATGTTAAAGGACACACAAAGCTATAGCACTGAAATTTTTAACTCAGGTATCAAAAAACGTTTTTGTTTGATCCCTACACAGTGTATAGCTTTGAAACATCCACTGGAAAAGCATGCTAAAAACAAAGAGACAGGTTACCAGCAGTTCGGACAGGAACAATTAACAGTACTCAGGCAGCTAATTGACTCCAAATTGGTACAGTCACATTTTAATGAAATAATTTTTGCCCCTACCAACAATGTTGCCTTAATGTAAAAACTTGGTTGTGTAACTGTGTATAAAACATCACTAAAGTACAACAAACGCCAAAGCTTTTCCCTTGTTTTCCTTTTAGAAGGTCTACATTTTCTGATCTTAACTTTAAAGACAGCCAAGCACGTTGTACCACAAATTTGCAAGGGTTTGCCCGTGTCAGTGAGGCAGCGTACGTGACTCAGTCAGGTGAGTGGTTCCAGTGTGTGAGGTTTACATCTGCAAATGAGCCGAGAGGCTACCCTACTGTAAGGCCCTTTCAAAGACCGGGAGAGTTTCCAGGGAGGGTGGCCTGCTGGATGAATCCAAGTTGGGAATTAGCCAAGCTCTTTAGGAAGATGAAGGGAATGGAGAGCCAGGGAAACATTAAAGGGTCACGAAGGCAAGGGAGATAAGGGTTACTGGAGGGTCACAGGAAGGGAGCATCAGAAAGTCCAGCTACGCTCAGGGAACTTCTGAACTTCGCCAGATTAACGCTCGCAACCGCATGTCCTATTCACTGATTTATCTCAGAAAATTTTCTGCTACCTGAGAGGATTCTTAAAGGAGCAGCGGACACCGATCTGACTGCCGCGTGAAGAATGTTAGGTGACTGAATCCATTAAAATTAAGAATGAATCAGTCAATAAAAGATGCTGCAAAGCACCCATTAACAATATGCCCTATTGTTGGATTTCCAAGCTTGCCATTGTAAATACTTCATAACAGAATTATGCTTCCTTGTGGGGATTACACCATTTGGTCTACATTTACTGCTGCCAAGCTGACCGTTATTATTTGGAAAGTTCCTATAAATTCAGTGTGAAATGAAAAGGCATATGAGCTGTTCAGACCTTATTTTCTCAAGCTCAGTAATTAAGATGTGGAAGTAAATCAGGTTTCGGATTTAAAATTTCTTTTCAAAACATAAAACTTTGTTATTTTTTTTTCCCTCTAAAAATGTTATGGTATTATTTAATGAAGTGGGGAGGTACAGCTGATCATTGCATATAGTTTTTGGAAAATATTCATCTCCTTTGCAGTTCCACTGGGTACCATACTTAAACAAATATCTCGTGAACTGCAATGACAGGGCAGGTTCCATTGATGGATGACATCGATTTAATTAAAAGGAACTGAAATGCAACAGCTAGTTCAACACCAGGCTGGGAGCCTCACTTTTTACCCAGAAGAGAACAGAACGACAAGAGTGCAAATAGTTCAGTACATCGCTTATCTTCTTGTGCTGTGCTTTTAAGCTTATCCTAACCAGAAAGCACAGCAATAGCATCATTATCCAGGCTTTAGTAATGCTGCCTTCTCTTTGTTGCCATGTGTGATTCAACCTACACAGGCAAATGGAAACTTCTACCCTGAAATGGCCTTCTTTATGTCTTCTTTCACGTCAGTGTTGGAACTTGGAAGCAAAGTTGACACATACGTTTCCTATTTCCTGTATGCAGCCTGTTCCTCAAGAGTGACCCACTCTGTTTTTCATCTCTCTTGAATCTCTCATGTAAACAATTCCTCAAAACCCATTATAAGGTCATTTTATAAGGCTGGATTCCTTAACTGAATTGAACAAAACATACTTGTGCTAGCTGGGGGATTAAATTGGCTGTTTCCAATGAATCCTCAACACTACTGCTTTTGACTTAGCAAGAATTCCACATGGAGACCTCCCAGATGAAAAGAAGAGTTTACCTTGTGGAAGAACACACTGCATAAAGCCTCGGGCTGCCAGAACACAACCGTGTTTATTCAATGGACAAAATATAGAAAAAGCTGTGATAATCTGGGGAACCTGTTTATGTGCAGCTTACAGATGCTGACCGACAGCATGGCTTCTCCTCCTGCAGCTGTATCTGACCATACGATCCACTTAAACTACACAGCTGGCCTGCTGTCATTGTTCCCCTCCACCAGCACAGAACAGGACATGCTAAATCCTTGCACCAGATAAACACAGTGCTCAAAACAAAGGTCACAGAGCTTTCAAGCTCATACATCTCAAAGAAATACCCCTTGGACATGTTTGACTCCCTCTAAAGGCAGAGCCAATTTTCATGTTTTGAGATAGGAGGGAGGACCATAAGAAAGCAATATAAATAGTGATTATACTGATTCCTTTACTGTTTTTAAAACAGTGTTTGATAAGCTATGAAAAGGATTTATATAATGTGATGTTTGAGGTGGCAGTGGCTGACATCCAGGAGGCTCTTTGGAGAGGTCATCTGTAATTGCAGAGTACTTACAAAATTAGGACTCACATAATGGAGTTATGAGAATGTCCTAGTGGGTTGGTCTGCCTGAGGAAGTGTATAGCAGGTCACAATGACGCATTAAATCAAGGGGGAAACATATGGCTCCAAAATGGTAGCATTCAAATACAACAGCCTGGTAGAAGTACAGCTATGGATCAGTCTGTCAGTGTCAAAAAAAAAAAAAAAAAAAAAAAAACAAATTCATTTTTGCTTGAAAAAGATACTGGTTAATCCAGGATCTTGGACACAAGGGTTCCTGGATGTGTAAACCCTTAATAATTCAAGACCCCACTTCACTATTAGGCAGTTTTCCCTTTGTTTGCCTTCAGTACCACATTTAGTCTTGTCTACTTATGCTGCCTGTTCTACTTATGTCTACTTATGCTGCCTCAGTGCTTGAAGTTACAAGCTTTCTCTTTGTGACTTCACATTTGTTGTTGAGAGGACCACTTAATAAAGGTGATTTAGGTAAACTGGAATTAATTCACATGCATTCTAAAAGAATACTTATTTGATTGGTATTACCTAACTTTACCGCTACAGAAATGATAAATGTCGTAAGTGGCTTTAAATGGGAAACAACAAGCAACAATTTATTGCACTACAGTAGTGTCCAGAGATCCTGCTTTCTCAGTCTGGGCTGTGCTACATAAAAAGACAAAGGAGAACAACTCAGACCAAGAGGGCAAAAGGCAGAGAAGGACAGAGATGAAGTGGTTCACTTAGCATAACTCAAGTCAAAAGGAGAAGGAGATGAATATAGTTTTTTTTAGGGCCTCAACACTAAATCAGTCTGGTCACAGGGTTCCTGCGTCTGATCCCTACATTTGTAGTCAAGGTAAGACATTTCTTCTTTTTCTTGTATTTATGGGTTTTCATTACATTTACATATAAAAGAGGCATCAGAAAGGACCTAACTGACATCCTGTGTTGAGCGCCAGAAATCCTTGCTTGAGGCTCTCTTTCCAAATAAAATGCTTTCTGTGAGGCTTCCCATTATTCTTTAAGGGAAATCATGTTGAATTAAATAAACATCTTCAGCTGTATTTTTTTTTGTCCTAAATGTTGTTTTGTATTGCTCAATTATAAATCATTTCAGAAATCTGTTAAAACAAAACACTGAAATATAAATTGGACAAAAATATTGGATAATTTGCACTATCTTACTGTTGGATCTGTTTTTCACTGGAAGATAAAAGGAAAAAGAAACAAAACATTTTTATGTTTCCAACAATATTTTTAGCAAATTAACCACATATTAAAACCCTCACATTTTTCCAGCTCGGCGCTGCATTTTGTACATGGTTCCTGGCTGGAAGAGTCTCCTCTGATTAGTCCTAGGCACCAATCTTTTCCCTCACTCATGTGAAAAGGATAATCTATTATGTGATTAAACATTATTAAAGACCACGAGACCACAGAGACATAAGAAATACACTGTTTTCTATGTCAGCTTGTTTCATCTTGTCATAGATGAGAAAAACCCGTTTCTATGCATCCTTCAGCCTTGAGAAATGTTTTGAAAGCTCTGAACACACGAATATTGGCATGTACCCCCATTTCTGGCAGCTTCATGACACTGTTAGTCTGTAAATCTAACATTGCAGCACCCTGGCTTAAATGCCTTATGAGTAATGCATACTCAGAAACATCCAGACATGAAGATTGTTCCATCAGAGCATCAGCTGCACGTATAGCTGTACCCTCTCCCCAGTACTATCAGAGGCTGGTGGTTACATCTCTAGACGTGGATGCAGCCAGATGATGGACAAGGCAGGAATGATCAGAAACAAAAAATACCAGGCTGAAAAGCCACAGTTTCCTGATGCACACAGACAAGCTAGAACTGACTGAGAATTTTCTGACAAACTTTGTGTCTACAGTTAGAAGTGTTATTTAGAAAAAATGAAAACTTTCTTCAAAAATGTACCTATATTAACCACAGGACAGTAAGAACGAAATCAGGGGGTGGGTGGGTGGGTGGGTATGTGTGTGTGTGTGTGTGGGGGGGGGGGGGGGGGGGGGTGTAGGTGTGTGTGTGTGTGTGTGTGTGTGTAAAGGTTCATTAGGACATAAGAGAAGGAAAATACATAACCTTGAAGCTTCTATATGATTCATATAAAGAACTAATTAAGGTGTTGGCATGATGGGCTAAGTAGTCAACTAGGTTGACACTCAACCTAGTTAAGGATTTTTGTTATTTTCCTCTGACCTATTAAAGTGCCTATATCTTTCTGTGGATCTGATTCACTTCCTACTTAAACTTTTACAGGTCAAGCCAAAATTCACTAATGTCAATAGCAGTTATTGTTTACTTGACATTTGAGGACATCCTATGTTGTCCTCAAATGTCAAGTATGCTGTAATTAGGTTTGTTTTATTTAATTAACTTCATTTGATTTAAGTTTATGACTGTGTTGCCAGAGAAAAATGGAGACTGGTTCTAGAGACCCAACAATTCTTCTGCATTACTATGTCCTCCTCTGCCCAAATATAAAGAAGAACTCCTTTGATTTAACAGAAATTGTAACCTTATACCGATGCATTATGACTATTAATAGTTAAAATATATGGAAATTTTAAAACATTTCTTGGTTGAAAAATGTAATATGTCATTAATTTCAACATTAAAAATTCTGGAACAGCTCCAGCAATGCCATCATCTCTCAGATTTCCTTCATGCTCTACAGCCAAAGTTCTTGCTTTTCGTAAGTAAAGTTACATTTTACTTAGTGGTGTTTTGTAACTGTTTAGGGTGTTTTATCCTAGTGTTTTATCCTAGTTTTACTCATATACTCATATACAACTACTTAACTACTCACTTTTTGAGTCAATGATGTTATCCTGACTGCACATTTACTCTTGTGCAAAAATGAGAGAGTAGAAAAACATATCAGCATAGACACATACTCCCAGTTTGGGTGACAATGAGGATACCAAGCGTCACTGTCTTAATCAGCATCAACTGCTGCGAAAAGTCTGTGATATTTAGCACCATGCAAACTATAGAGGGAACAGACTATGCATGTTTATCCTCTTCACAGCACAGGAGTGTGACAGCAAGCAGGTATTGAAACAAGTGAATTTGCACAGGTCAGCATGAGCTACACACACTTCCTAGCACAGGTGTCTTTGTTTACTACTTCTGTCTTTGGGACTAAAATGTGCAGAATCTGGCTTACTTCTATTGATTTTGATGGTGAATATGCCTGCACAGTGGGCACTTTGTATGACAGTTACAGGAAAGTAGGCTGAAAGTAAGCTGACCTTACAGGGAAAAAAATAATGGATGGATAGATGCAAAACAGAAAATAAATCTCTTTCACTCAAAAGCAGAAGCTAGGCACGTCACCTTGTACAAACTCAGCCAAGTCAGTGGAAATCAGAATCACAGAACCATAGAATATCTGAGTTGGAAGGGACGCACAGGGATCATCAAGTCTGATTTCTGGATCCCCAAAGGACCACCCAAAAATCAGACCATGTGTCCAACAGCACTGTGCAAACGCTTCTTGAAATCTGCCAGGCTCAGTGCCGTGACCACTGCCCTGGGGAGCCTGTCCCAGTGCCCGAGCACCCTCTGGGTGCAGACCCTTTCCCTAACCCCCAGCCTGACCCTCCCCTGTCCCAGCTCCATGCCGTCCCCTCGGGTCCTGTCGCTGTCCCCAGAGAGCAGAGCTCAGCGCCTGCCCCTCCGCTCCCCTGTGAGGGAGCTGCGGGCCGCCATGAGGCCTCCCCTCAGCCTGCTCTGCTCGGGGCTGAGCAAACCAAGGGACCTCAGCTGCTCCTCATATGCCTTCCCCTCTAGACCCCTCACCATCTTGATTGCCCTCCTTTGAACACTGTCTAACAGTTTTATGTCCTTTTTTATTGCAGTGCCTCAAACTGCATCCAGTGTTCAAAGTGAGGCTGCACCAGCACAGAGCAAAGCAGGGCAATCCCTTCCTTTGACCAGCTGGAAGTGCTGGGCCTGATGCAGAAGGATAACAATTTGCATGTGCTGAGAGCCTTACACTGGAAGTTTAAAGTGATTCAGAGCAGGAAAGATAGTTCCCTCAATAATCTGCCCTGCCACAGCTAAATTGTTCAGCATAAAATAAGGAGAAAACATGATCATCTTTTACAGAGTAAATCAACCTTAATCGTCTTGCAACAGAAACTGCTGCTAACAGGTGACTTCATAAAGTTTTTGCTGCCTTTATTATGGACAGTATACTCAGCTAGATAATCTGATTGCCATGGCAATTCCTATGCCCTGTAAGATACACCAGCTATTAAAAGAAGTATGAGTATAAAAATACACAGTGGACCTAGCGTGAGACTGGAGGGCATTGCAGCACAAGGCTGGTGATGGCTACTGGTAGCACAACATTCATTTCTGAGGGTTCTCTTGATAATGAATCTTAAAAACATCATTCTTTCACTTTTTTTTTTTTTTCCTCAAGGATCACCAGTGTTTTTTTAATTGGCATGACAGACCATGGCTGATAAACAATTGTTCTTAACTGGTCTTAACTAGTCGCACTGGCTTTGGTGATTCTGTAGTTTGTTAAGTTTAACAGTGGTCTTTTTCTCAATTTATATTTGAAGCTGTTTATGTTATCTGTTTACACTGTGTCATCTTTGTTATTCTTTATATAAAAGCCTTTTTAAATTCCACGAGCCAACAGAAAAAGCATATGGAGAAGAAACCACGGAGAGGCCCCTGGTGGAGCAGGCTGTCCCCCTGCAGCCCATGGGTCCCCCATGGAGCAGATCTCGAGGAGCCCATGGTAGAGCACCAGAGAGAAACTGCTGTGACCTGGCCACAACTCACATTCTCCATACATCTGCACTGCTTGGCATGGGAGAGGAGGCAGAAAAATGAAGCTGAGCCTAGCACGAAGCAGGACTGGGGGGATGACGGGTTTAGTTTTGTTTCTCACCATCCTATTCTGTAAATAAACTGATCGTCCCCAAGTCCAGTCTGTTTTGCCTATGGTGGTTAACTGGTGAGCCATCTCCACGTCCTATCTCAAACTATGATTTTTTTCATCGTGTTTTCTCCCTGTCCTGAGAAGGGGGAGAGGCAGAGCACGGTGGGCACCTGGCAGCCAGCAGAGCCCAACCCACTGCACTGCACAACCATAACCGCACCCGGCGAGGACCAGAGCCACGTCCTCGGGAACTGAGTAAACAGGGAACGCAATTTACAGTAAATAACTTTCTGGTGAAATCGATGGCGTGGAGGTGTAATAGGCGCAATCAGCTCAGCGAGTGTGTCTTAAGGAATTTTGTGCACATCAGCTTCAGGAAAAAAAAAAAAAAAAAAAAAAAAAAAAAAGGAAACAAAAGCAAAGTTTTCTGGTTCACTTGTGCTTTTCAAGACCAACCAGAAAAAAAAAAAAAAAAAAAAAAAAAAAAAAGCCTTTGCAGCGCCCCCCCCCCCCCAGCCCCTGTTTGCTGCATGCCCCCCCCCCCCCCCCATCCCCGCCGCCCCCATTTTACCTCCCCGCCCGCCCCGTACCGGGGAGCGGGACCTGCGATGGCGCCCACGGCCCCGCTGTTGCCACGGCAACGCGTCAACACATGCAAATGTCGGCCGGCTCCGCGGGCGTCGATTGGCCAGCGGCATTGTTCGGTCACGGCAAGGGGGCGGAGCCTGGCTAAAGGCGGGAAGCGGGGAATGGCGGGAACCGGGGCTCGGCTGGGGCGCGAAGGGAGAGAGGAGGAGGAGGAGAAGAGAGCAGGGAGCGGAGAAGGAAAAAAGCACAGGGAGCCCTGACTCCTACACAAGCACTGCTCTCTTTTCAAAAATTCGCATCTTTTTGTCCATAAATAAATAAATAAATTATAATTGTCATACCAATTCTGTCACCCACGACAGTAAACTTCCAGCTATTGGAATTTTACACAGTGGTGATGACAGCCCGTGACAATTGCGGTGATTTCACGCCAGCAAGCAGTTCAGCTCCACGATACCACTCTCTCACTCGCTCTCCTCAGCAGGACAGGGGGAAAAAATAAGGTGCAAAGAGGAAAAATCTCATGAGATGAGATATGGACAGGGAGATCACTGATTACCATCATGGGCCAAGCAGAAAGCATAAGGAGATTAGAAAAAGCTTGTTCTCTATTACTAACAAGCTAGAGAAGTGAGAAACACAAAAAACAAATTAAAGACACCTTTCCTCCATCAACCCTCTTCTACCTCCTCCCCTTGTATGGGGCAGGGGATCGGGAAATGGGGGCTGTGGTGAGCCCACGGCACTTTGTCTCTGCCGCTCCCTCACGGTCACTCTGCCCCTGCTCCCCATGGGGTCCCTCCCAGGGATGCCGTCCTTCCCAACTGAGCCTGGGGGGCTGCCCACAGGCAGCAGCTCTTCAAGCACTGCTCCCACACGGCTCCGTCCCACGGGGTCCATCCATCCCCCAGGAGCAAACTGCTCCAGCACGGGTCCCCCACGGGTGGGGGCAGCTCCCCCCAGACCCCCTGCTCCTACGTGGGCTCCTCTCCACGGGCTGCAGCTCCGGCCCGGGGCCTGCTCCTGCGGGGGCTCTCCATGGGCCGCAGCCTCCTCCAGGCCACATCCACCTGCTCCACCGGGGGCTCCTCCACCCATGGGGGGGCTGCAGCGTGGAGATCTGCTCCATGGGGGACCCATGGGCTGCAGGGGGACAGCCTGCTCCACCAGGGGCCTCTCCCTGCACAGCCCGCAGGGGAACTGCTGCTGCCTGCCTGCCTGCAGCACCTCCTGCCCTCCTGCGCACTCCCCTGGGGGGCTGCAGGGCTGTTGCTCTATTTTCTCACCCCTCTCTCCCAGCTGCTGTTGCCCAGCAGTTCTTTCCCTCCCTTAACTCTGTTCTTCCAGAGGCCCACCCAGTGTCGCCCATGACTGAGCTCTGGCCAGCAGCGGGTCCCTCTTGGAGCAGCTGGGGCTGGCTCTGCTCTGACATGGGGCAGCTGCTGGGCTCAGCTCTCAGAGGCCATCCCTGCAGTCCCACCACCACCAAAACCTTGCCACATAAGTTCAATACACAAATAAATTAATATATTTTTTTCGTCATAAATATTTATACAATATCGATGTTTTTATTAATTTTATTTACATAATAGCAGATACCCCCAAGGGCTATAGGGGTATCTTTTGTTGAAAATAGGTGTTATTTGTAGTTAAAATTGTATTATGGCTTTTGGAGGAAAAGATCTATCATATAAACACAACCCCAAATATGTGTATCAATTCTAGTGTATCTGTCGTTTTCAATTGTGTGAACTCTCTGCTTAGGTTGCCTTTGTTGAACAGTTGTTTTTTGGTTTTTTTTGTTTGTTTGTTTGTTTTTGTTTGTTTGTTTGTTTTTCTTAGTTAAAAACAGTATTGGCACACTCTACTACAACATAATTTACTCAGAACATGGAAAATCGTACTCTTCAGTTGGTCAGCCTGACAAAATTACAAAATGTGAATTGGAAAAGGTAATTCAAATTTATGAGTTAAGAATGAGAAGAAGGTGTCCACCTTATACCCACTGTGAGAGCTGCATCAAAGGATGTCTTTTGCAGAGACAATTCACAACAATTTTTATTATTCCTTTCTGAACACCTCATAGCATTCTGAATTAAAATTTGAAATTTAATTGCAGAAAATATTCCAAGTATTTTGACAATAAAAGTATTTATTCTGAATAATATGAAAAGAGCTTCATTGCAATAAGTTTGAAACAGTTCCTTCAGACTTGGCTGAGTCTACATTTAATTTTATAAATATTGAAAGCTGTTCCAACAGAAAATGCCAAAATAGTTCAAATATTTTTCTCTTAAAAGTTCTACTAAAATAAAAATAAATCAGTAAATACATATCAGTTTATTTACTGAGCTGGTCATGACATTCATGTTACGTCATATGGCACGATAACAATCAAAACACTTTTGTTATTACAATTTGGTAACTGGTTTTGAAATTCTTCATTTAAATGGGTAAACATTCATTTGGTTACAAGTATTCTAGTGAGCATGAGAGTGTCAGTCAGCGTCTGATAGTCTGTTATCAACACCATTTCGAGTATATTCCTCTCTTTGTCTGCCTGAATTTGTTTTGTGACATGCTGTTGCTAGAAGAGTGAAACTCAAGTTACACACAAGAAGAAACTATGTAAATGTCAGGGTATGTTAAACTCTTGAAAAAAAAAAACATTAATTTCCAAGTCTGGCATATAACAGCATTCTGATATTCGGAATGGCCATTTGTACTGATATTTTAACTGATCTGTGCTAATTTCCTATTTTAGTATGGTGCAAATAATTTAACACATTTATGTTGCAGTATTATGGGATAAATTCCACAACACTTAGGTCAGGAACACCTTTAGTTATATAATTACACATATTTCAAGAATGTTAACTATACTAGAAAAATATCATTGCAGTTAAGGAGCTGAAATTCAGGAAATACAGATTATTGATGCCTTTTGAGGCATAGATCTTACAGAAAACATATAATAATAAATAAAAACTATCTTGCGTCTTCTAAATACCTATACACGTCTTCAGGAGACATAAAATACCTGTCTCCATTGCAAGATTTTAGGAGGAACTCATCTTAGTAGTAGACAGGACTGCTGTTTCCATGTCAGATGTCTGGATATCAGTTCAAATGTCTTGTAGCAGCATGGGAATTATCCATAGTATAAAATTGTGAGGACAAAACAAACAAACAAACAAGCAAACAAAACTTTTTTTTTTTTTTCTGTTTAAAAAGCAAAATTACTCTCACATCATTATAAATAAGGAACAAAATAAATGATGATTCAATTTAAAAGCTCAAAGAAAAATAAAAAAGACATCAACAGGATAGAATATACTTTATATTACAAAAATAATAAAATAAATTAATCTTTGAATAAGTTACTATGGATTAAAAATATGGCATTTTTTTAATAAGTGCATTTGTGCTAGCAATATATTAAAAATTGGTGAGAGTGTTTCAGCTAAATTCCCATCTGGCATCTTATATATGTATGTATGCTTGTAAATGTTTAACTATTATAAAAACAAAAATGGACAAGCTAGAAAAATGTTAGCTGCATTAAATATGCCTTACATATGATAATGAAACATATAAGCTGCACAGATTGGAGCTGCACAAAAGTGGCTATATTACTTCTGGATGGTAGGTTGCACATTGGCATGATATAGGCTGTTAGTGCCGCTGACTGGTTCAGGTCTCTGCCACTTTGATTTGCATGGTACCAATATACTTGTAATTTTTTTCATTTTTTTTCCGATCTCTGCCACTTTGAATTGCATGGTACCAGTATAATTTTAATCTCTTTCAAAGTTTTTCCAGTACACCATTTTTAACCCTCGCTGACTAGATAAAATACAATCAAAGCACACAGAAATTACTTTTACCTGAGGAATAAAAATAGCAGAAGTGACCTGATTTCTAGTGCATATCTTAAGCCAGACTAAACCACACAATGGTCAAAATACTCCCTAGAACAGGCTTTATTATATGAAGTGGTTTAAGTTTCATGTATGTATGTAGTTAGTGAGAATTTATATGGAGAAGAATGGAGGCTACTTTTTTATTATTATTTATTTTTCCGTATTACTTAATCCATTGTAGTGACAGTGGCTGTAATATCTTCCAAAGAGGGCATCTTGGAACAACAGGAAGGGTCACAGAGTAGACATGAGAAAATATAAGAAATAATACAGAAGTTTATCATAGGATATCCATGTATCTGAGAAATTCCCACAGGGTCTGGGACAAACATCAGTAAAATATTTGTATCCAAGCAAGACAGGAATGGTCCTAGTATAATTACTTTGCACATACTTTTGTAACCATCATTCCAGCTAACAACTCTTTTGCTTCTGTTGCCCTGTTTTCCTTCTTGCAAAACTCTGGGTGGGATCCTATCTGAAGGTCAACTTGGAAGAAGCAGAGGAACAATAAACAAACTAAGAGTATGAAAATGTCTTTAAAAGCAGCTTGGATGGGGTGAAGGTGACAGGTCATCATTTGCTAGGACTTCCTTATTTTTACTGTTTATTAAACTTCATTTTTTTCATAGAGAGATAATAAATGAGGGAAGTCCATTTCATCATCCCATTATTTTTCACTTTCTTTTAATCACTTTACTGAAAGTTTAGAAATATTTTTTATATGGCTTTCCCATTACCAGTGTTTCTTTTCTGTTGTGTTGCATAACAAGAGTATGTTCACTGAATGCTTTCTTGTTATAACACACTCAAGTAACTGAAGATTTAAGAATGTGACTTCAGCCCATGGAATCAGTCTAATATGACTCAGTGTCTGTGAAGGCATTAATTGGAGGATTGATATATTTATTTTTTTGTTACTGCCTTCATAGGTACCATTCTCTAGCGTTACCCTACAAATTAGCATGCAGACACACCAACAAAGCATACCCTGGAAGCATTCAAAAGGATGTCAGAATGGAATTACCCTCTGGGTTGAGGAACTTTTCGTTCCTGTAAAAGGGAAAGGTTACACTGAGGCTGAGGGAAATGTGTGCCATGTTTTCATTACCATTTCTAATGGACAGCCAGAAGACTGAAAAGGTTATGTTGCAGCTAAAAACACAGTTCAAACATGTACAA